GAAAGTGTGTTTGGGTCTAGTGTGTGTGTATAGAGAGTAGGGGACTGTGTTACAGAGTGGCTCAGAGGACTTTTAAGAAGCTTTTATGCCGTTAAAGCACGCCACCCTTTTCTGGACTATTTTGCCCCTGTTCTTTTATACTTTTTACCTCTATTGTCTCTCCGCCGTCTGCCTTCCCGGAAGATCTTGCTTTACGCGCCGGGGAGGGAGAGTGGAGGGTGATAGTGGGGTCCATGTGAGGGTGGATGTTCCTGCCGTTTGACGCGTAGCTAAGATGAGGAACTTTTGACTTTTGACCCCCCAAATCTAAGAATAGGAATGGCTGGCTGGCTGGTCGCTACGTTTTTTCTTCTGGATAAAGACCTCACAATTCGTAATTTCCTATGAGTTTTTTTTTATGAGATAATCAAAATATTATTGGTTAAGCAAAATATATGAATAAATCATAATAACATGTCCAGAAACTCCAAATCAGAATCTCCTACAAGCTGGTCGTGGGATCTTTGTTTGACCATTCCTAGGGTTCATGGTTTAAGATTAAGATATTACTCTAGTTCTAGATGTTTTCTTTCTGTTTTTTCTTCAGTTCTAAATACTAGTAATATTAAGAGTGCCTTATTAAGAAAATAATAATAAATCACAAAAGTTGGGGTTTTTTTATTTATTTATATAAGTGATATTGTAAAAGAAGGGACATGAAAACTGAACCCCGAATGCACGATAACTACTCATAATTTATTTATACTAAAATTAGGTTTTACACATGTAGACATTTCATGGTCATTTGGTAAAACTTTCTCCAAGTCAAAAACTGGAAAAATGGGTCAAACTTATTAGTTGAGTTACCTAACTTGCACTATTTTACAGCCTTGCCCATTTAGTCAATTAGACAAACACTGTAAATTCTAGTATTTACCCTGTCAGGGGAGGGGGGTAAATATGCAAGTCAGATATAGGTGTCTTCAAGCTTCACGGTGAGCCATGTTCCCTGTCAAATTGGTCAATTTTTATTCAGCTACAGGGTCCCTTTTTCATCCATAGGGTCTGAGCTTGGGACCTTAGGGTTGTACAAGAGTAATCAATCCCCTTAAATGTTTGCTTAATTTCTTGGACAAGGGAGGAGAAGCTTTCAGAATCACCAGCAGGACCCCAATTCTCTCACATCTTTACAGCTGCTGCTTCATCATTGTACCAGTCCTCAACTACTTATGCATCTTTATCCTTTAATGTGTTTCTACAAAAAGAAAAACCTTTTCAATTCTTTAAGGAACCTATAATAATAACAACAAAGTTAAATTCACTTCTTTACCCATTGAATTCATTATTAGTTGAGTCATCTCTAGTTTGCTAAACCTAGTGCGGGCCGGGGTAGATTTTGGGTCTCACATATATCAATCGAAGACTCGTGATAGCAGAACTCAACTCATAAATAATTGATTGTAGCGAATTTTAAGCTTTGCATACATTAACAATTAGACTCATGATTAATGACTATAACATAACTCAACTCATGCAATTTGATTGTAGCAAATTTTGAACTTTACATACATCAACATTTACACTCGTAAGAGCATTTCCAGCAATGCAGCCAAGGGGAGGGCTGGGGGGTTTGGGCCAAAAAGCTGTTTCCAGCAACAAACTATTGCCCGGGCTGATGGTGGGATCCAGCAGACTGGGCTGGCCCTAGTGCTGGCCTGAGGGCAAAACATGACATCAGCAGCTTCTTCCACGTGTCGCACTCTGGGCTCTCCAATTAGATTTTTTCCCTCCAATCTAACGGCAGCCAATTTTTGTGTAATAAAAAGATGAAAAAAAAATTGATTTTTTTTTAATACTAAAAAAATAATGAATTTTTTTTCTTCTATAAATACCAACCAATACTTTTCACTTTTAACACCAAATCCTCATACATTTTATTCTTCTTTCTACTATTATTCAAGTTTTGAAATGTATTTTAAATTTGAAATTTGAAATTTATCTAAAATTTGATTTTTGAAATTTATCTTAAATTTGAAACCGAAAATCTTATCCGATATGAATAGTATTGACACGTAGGAACCCAAAAATCTTACCCGAAAATATTATCCAAAATAATTGTTTAAGTAAAAAAAATTGTGAAAAAAACAAAAAAAATGAATAGTAGTTGCCATGGCAAAGGGCAACTGCTGGAAACACACATAGCTTAATATGGTAAGGACAGCCACTATTCACATGAATAGTAGCTGCCCTAACCCCCTAAATTCATGACAATGGGCAAACTGCTAGAAGTGCTCTAAGCAATTGATTATAACAGCTCATAAACAACTGACTATAGCGAATTTTAAACTTTACATACGGTTAGACTCGTACACAATTTGATGATATCAAAACTCAAGACATATATTTGTCAATGATGTAAACTCGTGGGTGTACTCTAAAGAGGAAATTATTAGGCGTGAGCTGTGAGCGCCTACCATCATAAATTAATGATGGATACTGGAAAGAAAGATGAGAGGGTACTGGGTCCCAATTCCAAATGAAAAATGGGTTTATTGGGTAGGAGGAGATGGGTGAGTGAGCGGGTTGATGTGCTTTTGCTTGGCAAAAAGCCGATGTGGGGGACCATATGTGACCCTCTATGGCCAACCCCTTCGTGTGTGTTTGAAGAATAAGTTGCACGTTTTAGGTTTTTTGGTGCTATTTGGGTACACATTAGAGATTCTGTCCAGGTTTTATGCTCTTAAAGCTCGACATTTACTTACCCACATATCAACCTCTGTTCTTTTTCCCCCCCCCTCACGTCCACACACTATAATACAATCAAGTCCACCACAAGCATTCCACTCAATATGAAATTTTGCTTCTTTTTTGTTTTTAGGTTGGGGTTAACGCCACTTTAGACCCGCACATAACTTGACATCTAATCCCACACGTAACTCGACCTCTAATCGTAAATGCTTAATAAGTGCAATCGATCACAAACCACACGTATTAGATAATTCTCAATATTATTTAACTTATCAGAATTGAACTTAAAATGTACAACTCACTTCATGGTTCCACAATTAATTTGGACCACTTATGCATGTTACTAAGCTAATATATTCAGTTTAAAACGAAAGATCGACCCCACCATTGCAAGTAGGAACTAGCACCAAAAAGCCACAGCTAGAAAACTCAACCTCAAAATTAATGCAATATAATTTTGGCTTAAATGCAAAAATGATCCATGTGTTTTACTACGTTGGTTAATTTAGTCCCAGTGTTTTCAATTTGGCCAATTCGGTCCCTGTGTTTAGGACTGTTAGTCAATATTGTCCATTCCGTTAAATTTGTTGTTAAATACACACAATAAACATTTTCGTGTCTTTTAAAAACCTATAAAACTTTTTAAAATTAATCTAAAAATATTAAAAATTCATTAAAAGTAAATCATAACATGAGAAAAGAAGAAACTTGAAGAAAAAAAATGTTGTCTGGGAGGGGATGGTTTGCCCAGCGAATGGAGAGGTGGGAAGGAGAGTGATGAGCGGAGGGGCAAGACCAAGAGGGAGAGAAACAAACGAAACCAAAAACTAATACAAGGATATCCCCACAGGGCACTACCTACTGAAACATTCGGAAACGTGAAGTTAAGGATTGTTCTTGAGAGAGAGAGAGAGAGAGAGAGAGAGAGAGAGATAGTGAGGTTGATTGGAGTTGGGGTGGAGGGTTGTTGTTGGGAGAAAGAGAGAAGAGAGAAGGGTGGTGAATTGTTGCTGGGATTGGAGATGGTGCATGGTGGGTGGGATTGAAGGTGGTGGTGGCGGTTGGGATTAGAGTTGGCGTCTTTCTGTTTTTGATTTTTAGTGTTGCTCTTATTTATTTAACTTTAAATTGTATTCAAATAGTTATTTTTTAAAATTAATATTTAAAAGTTTCTAATTTTTTCAACAAAAATTTAACGGAATGGATAACATTGGCTAACCGTCCTAAATACAGGGACCGAATTGGCCAAATTTAACAGGGACTAAATTGGCCAACGTGATAAAACACAAGGACCATTTTTGCATTTAAGCCAATAATTTTCTATGAGATTGTGCAAATCTTAAACCAAGTGGGGTTCTCTCCAGCTATCTCCTTCTCGCCCTCCCCCCATCAAGCAGTGAGAGTGACTTGCAATATTCCTTTTCTTATTTTGGTACAAAGATAGATGGTGTGGTGTATGTCCACTTCAAGCCATTACTCTTATGAAAATTGACAAGTAAACGATGCTTATCCTCCCCCCTTTATTCAAGTGGATGCCTTCCTCATGCATATAGAACAGAACATCCCTGACTTGAGGTAGGGAACAAAGGACATTGTGCAGAGCCAATGGTATTGGTAACCCAAGTCTCATCAATATTCTACAAGGCCTTCTAGAACCTCCATTTGTTAGTTTTGGGCTTAGCCTACCTCTTCACCAAAACCCCAAGAAATTTTCAGCACAAAGTAAAGGCCCAAGCCTAAACTTTGATCCTTGCAGGCTTGCACTATGTGGCAGGCCCATAATGCTAACACAAACCCAAAAAAAAGCAAAAATGAAAAGGAGAAAGAAAAAAGATAAAGAGGGATGGAAACAAATCTGTGGAATCAAGATTCTCGTAGCTCAAAGTGGTGAAGAGCATTTATCCCGACACGTGAGGTCTTAGATTTGAATCTCACTTCTCTATGTAGCTTATATATAAAGAAAAGGGAATTTGTTTAGTGCAGCAAATGGTGGTCAATCTTGGATTCATCCCACTGATCTATTTGCCCTTTTCCAGATTCAGATCAAAATTTAAGGTGCAGGCGCTAAAATAGCATGTGCAATTGTTTTACGTTTTATGCAATATAGTTGACAAAAACATTGCAAACGACATGTCGTTACGTAAAAGGAAAGAGATCTGTTGAAAATTGCAGTTGTGTATAAAAAGGAAAAAGATCCAGTCAAGACAAACTTTGATAATAATCTAGGCTGGGCTTTTATACTCTGTGGGCCGAATCTACAATTGCTTTTTGTTAAATCACAGAAATTATCCAGCGAAAGGCTAACGTGGCACAATCAAAACAAGCATTCACAGCGTCACCGCACCAGATCTCACCGGACAGACTCCAAGTCCAACCCCCTCCCCCTCTCTCTAAGCTTCCGCTCTCCTTCTTTGTCCCCATTTTAATATTTTTTTTCTTCATCAACTATAATATATTTTTTTGGTCGTTGTTATTTTCATTTCACGCAACGCAAAAGACAAATACGAAGCGAACTATAAACACCAACCAATAAACATTTCCTCCAGATCTACACAGTCTTCTGCTCGCTCTCTCTCCCTCTCTCAGTCAGAGGCCATGGAGTCTCGTAGATCCAAGGCCGTTCGTACACTGACGATCCCGACGATCTTTCTACTGCTCATCCATGGTGCTCAGTCCTTTTACCTCCCCGGAGTCGCTCCGGAGGACTTCATCAAGGTCAGCCCTCGATCACCGACAAATCTATCTTTCACTTTTTCTTTTGCGTAAATTGAATATGTCGGTGTATGAAATATGAAATGAGTGATCTGTGATTTCTCCTTTTGGATCTGTATTCATGTGACCTAGTGTTGGTTTTTCGTCTGTTTGGCCGTCGAGAAAATGGAGGAAAATGAACGGATAATAGCTTTTCGTTAATTGAGTTGGATGCTATTGGAATATTGAATCAATTTAATCAATTCAACTTAGATGTAGCGCAGCTGACCTGTATCGTAGTTAAAATTCTGAGATTTATACGTTTTGATGTGTGCTCTTTGTCCTCCATTTTTCTTAGATTTGGCTTAGGCTGTGTTTGAGCGCTACTTGAATGCGTAGAACAATGTAATTTTGAGAGTAATATGCGGCTGAAACTAACACATCAGATCTCGGGAGGTCCGAGCTGCTATCGATCTGTATAGGCCTTAAGCAATTACTCTAAGAGCTCGTCATTTAGGTTTCACTGGATTACCAATGCTGTTTATGAAATTTGAATTATTTCTCATAAGTTAGATTGGGCATTTGTGGTTGTTTTACTTCACTTGACTGAGAAGCAAAAGACTTTATGTCAGGGTGAGGAAACTCTGCTAGACAATGTTATGATATTTGAGTTAATTTCTCTCTCTTGGATCTGTAAATGCAGGGAGATGATTTGAAAGTGAAAGTGAACAAATTGACATCTACAAAGACTCAGCTTCCATACTCATTTTACTCTCTCCCTTACTGTCGACCTGACAAAATTTTGGACAGTGCCGAGAATCTTGGGGAAGTACTTCGTGGTGACCGTATTGAAAACTCCCCCTATGTGGTTAGTGTTATTGTACTTGTATAACTCTCAGGCTGCTTGTTTCTCCTATGGTCCTTAACTTATTGTGGATACTGTGCAGTTTAAAATGAGGGAGCCTCAGATGTGCAATATTGTCTGTCGGTTTACTCCTGATGCCAAAACTGTGAAGCAGTTTAAAGAGAAGATAGATGATGAGTATCGTGTGAACATGTACTTTTCAAACACTTGAAATGATTTATACTAAAAAAATATATGCGAGGAAGTTGCATTGAAGTTGCATCTCTTATTAAAAGTCTTTTTTCTGTGATAGGATCCTTGATAATCTGCCCCTAGTTGTACCCATTCAAAGGCCAGATCAGGAGGCTCCTACTGTTTACCAGCTTGGCTTTCATGTTGGGCTCAAAGGCCATTATGCTGGGGTATTTGCTTGGTTCATTGGCACCAAATAACTTTTTGTTCGGGTATTATTATGGTTTTCTCTTGCTTACTCAATGTTATTGTTCTCAGAGCAAGGAAGAAAAGTATTTTATCCACAACCACTTGGCATTTACTGTCAAGTACCATAGAGATACGCAAACTGAAACAGCAAGAATTGTGGGATTTGAGGTTAAACCATTCAGGTCAGTTTCCCAGCTCTTCCTGTTCCACTAAATGATTCCTTCCTGCTGTATATTCTTTCTTAAGTATCAGTTAATGATATGTTTGTGCTGTTGAATGTCTTCAGTGTTAAACACGAGTATGAAGGGAAATGGAATGATGCAAAGACCCGTTTAACCACCTGTGACCCCCATTCGAAACACACTGTTGTCAATTCCAACTCTCCTCAAGAAGTTGCTGAGAAGCAAGAAATCGTATTTACTTATGATGTAGAATTCCAGGTGAGCTCCTTAACTTAAAATATAACTCTTATTCCTAATGTCCTCCATTTAACTGAATATCCCAGATGCCAATGGTGATTGAATATGCATTGTCACTTGCTAGTATTCTCATGAGCTGCTTTTTTCATGTCTATTGTTTAGGAAAGCGATGTAAAGTGGGCCTCTAGATGGGATGCTTATCTTTTGATGAGTGACGACCAAATCCACTGGTTCTCAATTGTCAATTCATTGATGATTGTCCTCTTCCTTTCTGGCATGGTAGCAATGATAATGCTAAGAACCCTCTACCGTGACATTTCCAAGTATAATGAACTTGAGACCCAGGAAGAAGCACAAGAAGAGACTGGATGGAAGCTTGTCCATGGGGATGTTTTCAGGGCTCCAAATAACTCCGACTTGCTCTGTGTATATGTTGGAACTGGCGTTCAGTTCTTTGGCATGATACTTGTGACAATGATCTTTGCTGTCCTTGGTTTCCTCTCCCCATCTAACCGAGGTGGTCTTATGACAGCCATGCTCTTGCTTTGGGTCTTCATGGGACTTTTCGCCGGTTATGCCTCTGCTCGCTTATACAAGATGTTTAAGGGGACAGAATGGAAGAAAATTTCTTTCAGGACTGCAGTCATGTTCCCAGCAGTTGTCTCTGCCATTTTCATTGTCTTAAACACTTTGATTTGGGGCCAGAAATCATCCGGAGCTGTCCCATTTGGAACAATGTTTGCCCTGGTCTTTTTATGGTTCGGGATCTCAGTCCCACTTGTATTTGTTGGAGGCTATGTTGGGTTCAGGAAGCCAGCACTCGAGGACCCTGTGAAGACAAACAAAATCCCAAGGCAGATCCCAGAACAGGCCTGGTACATGAACCCAGTTTTCTCGATTCTAATTGGAGGAATCCTGCCATTCGGAGCGGTTTTCATCGAACTGTTCTTTATCCTCACTTCAATTTGGCTGAACCAGTTCTACTACATCTTTGGCTTCCTCTTCTTGGTGTTCATCATCCTCATCGTCACATGTGCCGAGATAACCATCGTGCTCTGCTACTTCCAGTTGTGCAGCGAGGATTACTTGTGGTGGTGGAGGTCGTACCTGACGTCGGGCTCGTCAGCGCTGTACCTGTTCCTCTACGCCACATTCTACTTCTTCACAAAGCTTGAAATCACAAAGCTGGTATCAGGGATGTTATACTTCGGATACATGCTTATTGCTTCTTACGCATTCTTTGTGCTCACGGGTACCATCGGCTTTTATGCTTGCTTTTGGTTCACAAGGCTCATCTACTCATCCGTGAAAATTGACTAATAAACTCAGCCCCAGGGGAGCTTGCGAGCGGTGCTCTCCTCCCCCAGAAGACGCAACAAGAAAAATATCTCAGTAGTGTAAGATTTTGCAATTTAAAGTTGGATTGTGCTTTTCGAAAATGTATCTTATTGTGCTCAATTTTGAACCATGACAAGCCAACATGATCATATTTCTGTTAGAGTATATTTCTATTTGTTTATTTTTCAAGAGTTACCAATTGTTACTTAGGGACCTTATTATTACTTACTCGTCTGTTTGTATTTTCCGATTTTCATGGTGGTATTTCCATGAGGCGGCCAAGGAAATGTCTTTTTATTTTTATTCTTTAAGGTTAATGATATATCAGTTATTTATTTATAATACATGTTGTGGGAACTACACCAAACACAAATCACTCGAAAATTTTACACTACTACAAGAAGATATCTAGTGTTGAACTTATGTAGGATAAGACATCAACAAGCCTAGTGGAGTTTCTTCTTCCCCGTTTGATCAAAATCAAAATAATTAAATGAAGCCCTATAGAGTAGAGTACTATTTCCTGGGGTGAGTATGCTCAGGCTCAGCGACATTGGTGGCGACCCTGGCGACATCTCCGGCGGAGGCTTCAGGCTTCTTGAGGTGGTAAAGGGTGAAGTAGCCGATGACGCCGGTGATGAGGAAGCCGGTAATGGCGATGGCGGTAGGGCTAATGGGAAGCTTGCGTCGCTGGTGAAGAACACCGCCAGGGTTATGACCAGGGGGTCTCTTTGATGCCTCCACTCCAGCTCTCTTCACTTCCTCTGCACTCATTTTTGTTGTGTCTGCCGTTTTCCTCCAATCTTCATTCCCCGCCATCTCTCTGTGTGTGCAGGTTTTGGTCTCTCTCACTCTGTGATGTGATGCGAATCGTGATGATATTTCTATAAATTAGCTGAAAGGGTGAACCCAAACATGTGCTGTGGTTTTCAACTTTGAATTAAGCTTTGAAGAAGAAGAGGAGCATTGCATTGCATTGCTGACACGTGTTGAGTTACAAGGCCCCAAGTGAAGGCTCAGTCTCTCAACACGTAGTGGGTTAGTGGGTTCGTGTAACTCTCTAGTCTAGCGTCGTGTTGCTTTGCTTGTGCAAGAAAAATCTCCCCTTAAAAGAAAAGAAAATAACAACAATAATTTGTTTTAAATATTTTTGGGCTGAGAATAAGTATACATGTTTGGGCTGCATAGGAGGCCCAGCCCAACCCAACCCTCCCTTTAAAAACGACCTTGTGCTGAAGCCTTTTCCAACCAACCTCCCTCCACAACACAATGTCGTATTTCTATTTGTCTACTACTCCGTTTACCTGATATTCACGGTGGGTGGGATTTCCATGAACCGCAATTCTCACGTTTTCCACAAATTGGGCAGAATTTGGTTTGCAAATTGCAAGCCTCTCCCTTTCTTACCTGTGAATTTGTGATGCTCAATTAGATTTTTATATTGGATTTGAAAGGGCTAATTCCCTTCTTCACTTCAGTTTTCTTATTTCCTATGTTGCCTTGCATACAATAAGATAGAAAAATAGGGTGAGTGGGAAAAAGAATTTGGCTTATTAAAATTAGTGCTACAATTAACATCCACCATACGCATTGACAATTTTTTTTTTCGTTAGAGCAAATGCTCTATAAAACAGAAGCACTCTAAAAAGAGTACAAAAGATAGTGAGAAAATCATCCGAAACCTAAATGCAAGAGGTAGAGATGATGAATTGAATACCAAAAAGCATTCAAAATATTCACACGTGTATGAACCATAAACTATAAACAAAGACGTCCACAACACAAATGAAAGATTAATTACAAACTAGGCCATAATATTTTGGAACAGGAAAAAAAAAGAAAAAAAAAAAGAAGAAGCCCTAGGGCATAATTACTTAACATACACAGGCTAGGCTAGTGCCACCATAAATATAGAAAGCTATTTCATGGGGCGGGGTCGGTGCTACTGACAAGAGACTTTCTGAGATGAAGGTCGTCACGTCAAGGTCATGATGGACCCTGATGACATCTAGTGCAGAGGGGTCAGGCTTTTTCTTGACATAAAGGGTATAGTAGCCAATGGCGCCAGCAAGCAGCAAGCCGGTGACGACCATGCAGGAAGTTGCACCAAAGTTAAGGCTGCTCCGGAGGCCAGGAGGAGCCCTATTTCCTACTTTCCTCATATCCTCTGGGCTTATTTTGTGTGTGTCTGACATTTTTCTCTCCAACCCTCTCTCTCTCTCTCTCTCTCTCTCTCTCTCTCTAAAGAAACTTAAGCAGACTAAAGAGATGAACTAAAAGATAAGGCTCTTTCTCATTGAATTCTAGTATGACATAGTGAGTATATACACTTATCAGAGATTATTCTAGAATTATCATAAAATACCTAAGAGATTCTAGTTGTGTAAAAAATGGAATGAACGGTTCGATCATCACTCATTTGTAAGATGGTTTACTGTCTTAAACCATTGAAGTGATCTTCTAATCGAATAAGGATTCCTAAGAACTCATGGTTTATCAGAAAGTCTATTCCTATCAGATATAGCAGCCTAATATAAGTGTTCTAGATATACTCACAGGCTTAAGGATTCCTCCTTTGATAAGGATTAAGATTACCTAATCCTTAAGGTTATCTCTAGGAGTTTCTTGATGGGTAAAACTCCTAGAGATATGTAAATAAATAGGAGGCTCCTTCTAGAGCCGAGACATACAAAAACAAGCATATAGATATTCACCCTATTAGAATTACTGCTGAAAGAAGTTCTCGGTTTCTAGGAGAAAGTCTCTGGTTTCTCAAGTTCAGATCGATCTTCATCTTGTTCATCATGTCTGAAACTGGTTAGTTAGTGTATTGCATGTTATATCTATTTAGATTTACATCATTGTCCTTGCTGTCAGAATGTGCTGACAGATTGTTATGGGTGTGTAGAGTAAGTTTAGGGTGCGTTTGGGTGTACTGGTTTTTCTGGTGTGAGAAATGGTACTGTTATCACCTCTCTTATATATGTATTTGTGAGGTGGTATTTTAAAGCCGAGACGGTGGAACGGTAAAACTTGTCTCTTTCTTTCTACGTCTGCATGCAGATTTCAACTTTGAAGCTTGAAGAAAAAGTGCATATTGTTGACACATTTTGAGTTACTCAATAACTTGATACGTGGTATGCAAGGTGGCACAAATTTGGCAGCCACGCTGCCAATAATAAGGGCCCACATTTATTACATCATTATTTAAGCACAAAGTGCAAAAATGTGGATTGAAACATTTGCCGAGGTACTAAATTTTTTTTTTGTTCAAACCAAGGTACTAAATTATTTAGAGGAGTAAATTGTAACTAGCCAAAATTTTATTTTATTTTATTTTATTTATATCTAGTTCCTATGTTATGGGCTGAGAATAAAAATTGGATAAATGTTTGGGCTGCGCAAAACCACTGTCCTAATCCAACCCGCCCTTGAAACGACGTTGGGTTGAAGCGTTTAATATAATGATGGACCCAAAACTCTAAAACCAGGTGTACTCGTCTTTCCATGTTTTTGTGACCGTTGAAAAGCGTTTTCTTCTATCTATCGCCATTATTTTTTTAACGTTACATCAGCCTTTTCTCTGAGCCGCACAACGGCTAGTTTTCCTTCCCCCAATCACAGTTGTATCCTATAGACAATAAATACATGAACGCTGAGAGGCTTTCTTCAACCACAACCTCAATCAATCAAGCCTTTTCCTTTTGTTCTTTGCTTTGCTAGCTCACTTGCTCTCAAACTCAAGAGCCCCCAAAAACACCCTCAGTGTCTAAGTGCTCTCTGTTTAAGTGTCAATGGCTGGCTTTTCATCATCAAGAGCTCTATCTTCATCTTCTCTGTTGCTCATCTTTATTTTCTTCAGCTTCTCAGAAGCCAGAGAGATATTGGTTGGAGGCAAAACAGGCTCATGGGCAATCCCATCCTCTGAATCCCAATCTCTCAACAAATGGGCTGAAAGCACCCGTTTTCGGGTCGGCGACACTCTTGGTAAATCTCCATTTTAATTCAATCCCAAGCTTTTCAATCTTCAGTTCTCATCTGGGGTTCCTTCCCATATTTTGTTTTGTTTTGGTCATTGCTAATTTATGCTATGTTTTCTGTCTTTGTTTCAGTGTTGAAATATGACAGTGCCAAAGACTCGGTGTTGCGTGTGACCAAGGAAGACTACGCTAACTGCAATGTTTCAAACCCAATTGAACAGCACAAGGATGGTGAAACCAAGCTTCATCTTGACCAACCAGGGCCATTCTATTTCATCAGTGGAACCAAGGGCCACTGTGAGAAGGGGCAGAAGGTGATTGTGGTTGTTATGACCCCAAGAAAACACTATGGTATCTCTCCAGCACCTTCTCCGGCAGAGGTTGACGGTCCCGCTGTTGCTCCAACTAGCAGTGCTACAAGCTTGCAGGGTGGTCTTCTGGTTGTGGCATTCGGGATTTTTGCTCTGGGGTTGTTTTGATGTGAGAATTTTTGGGTTTTAGAGGGTGGGGTTAATGATTTGTTCAATTCTTTATTCTTATTTTCATATATGAGTGGGGTTCTGAGATATTGTGCAATTCAATTTCAATTATCTTAATATTAACATATTCATTTCCTATACAAGTCTCGCAATAGATTCTCAAAAGGCAGGCGTTTTTAAGTTCAAACAATAACAGTCTCAATAAATTTTTTGAATCTATTGTTATAAAACAAGGAACGATTTTTCCTTGAATTCGAACTTCAGAGGTTCTAAGCAAAAAGAAAAAAAGAATTCGAACTTAGAGATTACAAAATACGAATGGCAAGCGAGATGTGCCAAACATCCTTCACTCTACTCATTTCAATTCACCGAGGCCTGGAGGCATTCCTAAACTCTGGGCAAGGTTGCTCATTCTCTCCTTCATGGCCTGAAAAGATGAAAAGAACAGGCACAAAGTTAAGAAGCCAGCTATTTTATTAGTCCTAAAAACACGTGAGAGGAGGATAGGCTGAGTTCTCACCACAACGCTCTTCTGGTGTGCATCTTTGTACGCTTCAGTGACCAAAAGAGAAAGTTTCTGCATTAAGAAAAAATGGAAAAGTCACATATATGATAAAGAGAAACTCACTCTTGCAAATGGGAAAAGAAAACAAAAGATGTTCATCACTTACTTCTGCTCCTAGTTCCATAGCAGCCTCAGTTATCTCAGTGCGTACAGGTTGCTGGTTACCAGAAAGCGTCACCTAGGAAAAAAATCAGAGATGGATTGTAAAATCTGAGTAACAGAGACAAGTGAGTATGAACGTAACTGGACCTAGGGGAAGGGAAGGATTGAAAGAACTCAAAGTTGTCTTAAAACAAAAGAGAAATTATGAAAAAGAGAGATATCAATTTAAAAATAGTTTCCGAATGTAATCCTGGTACTATGAAAGTGAAAATCTGCTAGTGCCACTCAAAAGTTAAAATACCATTCAGGCTTGCAAAGCAGCTTAGATTCCCAAATTGAACATATATAAAAAGGTGGCCTTGTGGCGAGAGTGAATCATACCTTAATTATCTCACCTTCACAGTAACCATCAAACTCTGCCCTGAAAAACAGAAAAAGAAGAAGAGATAAAATTTTATCCAGCCACTTAAAGAATTATGAGTATCAGATTAAATTGGATTAAACATTAGGAACATACGCAGCAAGCTCTTTCTGCACACGCACTGCTTCAACTTGTACTACATTTTGAGCTTTTTTAACCGTTTCATAAAGATTTTGCATATTACCAAATATTCCTGCCTGCATCAAAGTGAAAGGTTAACTTAATATTTGAATCAAGGGTTCTATTCTTACAAGTGCTGGACTAGCTCCAGGCTGGCTAAGACAGACTTAGGAGACTGCAATAAAGATAATGTAGTATCATAGACACATTATGTTTTCAAGAATATAAATTCTCTTCCATTGTGGACAAATTTATTAAAAGAAAAACAAAACTCCAGAATGTGTTCTAGTAAACTAATGTGGCCATCATTATCCAAATTTCCTATTATTGACCTCAAGCTTGCATTGTTACTAAAAGAGGCATTATTGGCCACTGTAATCATTACTTCAGATAAGAAGGTTGCATTGATGATAACATAACACCACTATCAGCACAGCAACCTTATAGTTCGACTAAAATTATGACTAGCAACAATATTTGACATCCAGCCCATTGCCCTCATCCTGAACAAATCCTGTTGCCCATCAAATGATCCAAGATAAGGATCCACAAACAAAAGAAATATGGCAAACGCATGTTCAGCTAGATTACAGTTGACATCATGATGTTAAAATTCGGTGGGCCTAGCACTGCATAAAGCTACTTAGCTTAAATTGGAAGAGTTACCACCTGCAGCCTAAGGCCGCACGAAGCATAAAATTTATCTAGTGCCTCCACATAAAGCATATAAAACCAGCTATCCCCTTTAATTTTAGTAGAATCTGTATTGACTTAGCATGGGTAATCGCACCTTCATACCAACAAAAGTATAAACACATAAAAGGAAAGAAATAAAAAATATGAGAAAGATTAACTGGTATAGCAATTCAGTACATAGAGATTGTAATGATCAGTACAAACTGGGTCTACCCAAGATGAGATCCAGAAAAATGGAAAAGCAAACTACATAAGAGGGAAAATGCTAAACCTTTGAAGCTGCATCATCACCCTTTTCATTGTTATCTTTTTTCCCTCCAAATAAGCCATACACACGAGACGACCGGGGAGCCCTCCTAGTTTTAACACCAGGCCAAGATACAAATGAAGGGCATGCTGGACGTGAATTTAGTACGTCACCTAAAAGAAGCAGAGGCAGTAAGCTTGATTTATAGTCAGAATCATGCAACAATCCCACCCCCACAGGATGAGATGGAAAGGGGGAGACATTATTGCATAAAAAACAATGATTAAAAGATTGAACAAAAACTTATGAGATTTTGCAAACAAGTTGAGATGAAAGAAAACTCACTAGAATGCAATATGCATTATGCACGCATAACAACATTCAAACAATCTAGCTCAGCTAAGTGGCACCAAATTTCAATGCCTATTATTCAAATATAATGGTCAAAGATGCCAGCTTTAATTGTTCATACTATCAAACCTATGCTTTTTCTGCAGTGCGTGCGCATAAAAAACAATGATTAAAAGATTGAACAAAAACTTATGAGATTTTGCAAACAAGTTGAGATGAAAGAAAACTCACTAGAATGCAATATGCATTATGCACGCATAACAACATTCAAACAATCTAGCTCAGCTAAGTGGCACCAAATTTCAATGCCTATTATTCAAATATAATGGTCAAAGATGCCAGCTTTAATTGTTCATACTATCAAACCTATGCTTTTTCTGCAGTGCGTGCGCATAAAAAACAATGATTAAAAGATTGAACAAAAACTTATGAGATTTTGCAAACAAGTTGAGATGAAAGAAAACTCACTAGAATGCAATATGCATTATGCACGCATAACAACATTCAAACAATCTAGCTCAGCTAAGTGGCACCAAATTTCAATGCCTATTATTCAAATATAATGGTCAAAGATGCCAGCTTTAATTGTTCATACTATCAAACCTATGCTTTTTCTGCAGTGCGTGCGAAAAAAAGGCTTAAAATTGGCAAAAGAAAGGAACCCAATTTCTGTTCTATCTTGTTAAAATAAACCCATACATTCTAAATGATTCAATTCGAGGCATGTTAAATACTGCACACACAGAAACACAAAATATACAGATAACTGCTGTTATTAAGCCAATGGGTTACGAGAGAGAGAGCTTACGGAAAGAAAGATGGTCTTCGGAGTCGGTGAGTCGGCGAAAGTTGGAAAGCCGTGAGCTTAAAGCACTGGTCGAAGCCATTGAGAGATAGAGAGAGAAAGATAAAGAAGCGAAGTTGTTTACAGAAGCGAAGCAAATAGAGAATAGGAGAGGGGAGGGGAGGGAGGGTGTAGTTCGCTTCCACTCGCGCTGTCTCTGGGTTTGGATAGGATGGATTTCTTTGACCCTCGGTAAAGCCTGAAACTTTCGTAAAAGATTTTCTTTTATTTTCTTTTACTTTTTCAAGGGACTTGTTAAAATTATTTGGGGAAAATAAGGGTTTGTTAAAATATTTATAATTTTTTTGGTTTCATTTCTCGGATTTTTTAATTGCACAAAAGATTTTGTAACAGATAAATAAATCTAGAGCACTTTTTTTTTTGTTTTTTTTGTTATAAAACAATATTCTAATATAATATTGTTTGTTTCATATATGACCGGCCTCTCATGCCATGGCACGTGGAAAGGGTATGACACCGAGGAAGGCTGCATGGCCCACGCTGGCAAGCCCAGCCTTACCAATCAGTAGGTCCCTTCGGCACCCACGACCGATTCTACGCCCAACATGGCCCTGTAGCCCATGCTGGCAGGTCCCGTCCTACAATCGGCAGACGCCTCCAACACCACCCGCTGATTGTTCACTAATCGGCCCACGGTTGGCAGGTGAGTTCAGCACGCCTTGCCAATTCAGCCTCCCGAAAGGTATCTTGCATGATTTCTCGAGTTCCCCACTGGTATGTTCGCTGGGACACATGGCAGCCTCAGAAGGCACTCCCACGAATCCCACATCGACATCTCGCACCAAGAAGACACCTACAACTCCTTATAAAAGAACCCTTTGCCTCATCGACATCTATTTGACCTACATGCCTTCGCATTGTCAATAAGCCAACTCTCCTCTCCTTTAGCTAACTTTAGTATCGGAGGGCCTTCGGCCAGTACAACACCGGTGTCTTAGATCTCACCTATTGCTTTCTTCTCTCTTTGGCACAAATCTAGCATCACACCCCGAAGAGGAAGGCCTTTACCAAAGGCAAATCCAGTCCCTCGATCATCCACATCATCTGTAAGTTAGTACTATGGTGCAGAGTGAAAATAACATCCGCTCTGACCAACTTGGCTAAGTGCATGTCTAATTTTTAATTTTTAACTGATAATAAAATTTTCGAAAGTTTAATTTCCCCAAAAATCTCAAACATTATAAAATAATGTAAAAGATCACGTTTCTCTTTAATATTTCTAGGTTTTTTTTTCTTTCTTCCTGGTCAGGTTTCAAATCAAGGTGTCCTTTTTTTAATTTGTCCAAAAGAGGAAAGGACACCTTCATTGACACATTCAGAATAATGAATCAAATTCTAATCAACAAGCCCACCACTGAAACATAATTTCGTAAAGTTAATATCATAATGAAGGATTCATTACCTACCATTTTGTAAAGTTAAAAAGGTAATATCATAATTTTGTTTTCATTAACAACGGATTCAAATGGATCTGATCAGTCTTCCACTTGGGTGAAACAAAAAGATTACTCGACAGATTTCTCTTTCAAGGACATTCTACATTCAAAACCATCAGCATTTTCAGTCTAAGTCTTCCATCATCATCCAAAATTTAAAGTCATAACTCATGAATGAATGAACTACCAAATTTATGTTGGCCAACATGCGACGAAGACTTTCCCTTGCAAGACCAAGCAGCATCTCCCCATTTAAGACATAATAAGATGCTAAGACATTCCTCACGTAAACTCATGACGGCATTTCTACTTATCAAATGGCTAATAATAACAAAAACTTGCACTGTGAAAAAAGAAAACTCTAAAGCACCATAGAGAGGATGGATGATGGATCGCTTTAAAGATGAGTCTGGTCTCAGCAATCCTATGAAAGTAGAACAAGAAAGAAAATAGTCAAAAGAAGATGAAAATTGGTAAAAAAGAACAAAAGGATTAAGATTAAAATCTTTTATAAGAAGTTCCCAACAATTCATATCCGATGCTTTCAACCTAAAGGAAAGGATGCTCGACTCCATGTTAGCAGACAAGTAAAAGAAAAAGTAACATGATCAACAAAGGCCTTAACCGAAAACAACCTGTGAGCAACATCAACAGTGAACCGTTTGTTCAAATTAAGATTCAGTGAATTTTAAGTAGAGCCAAATTTGTGCCTTAATTCCTTTCCCAACTCATAATTAAGGTAAAGATACATGTGTGTTTGTGTGCTTGTGTGCCTGTGTGCATACACATATCTATTGATAGGATATTTCGATCAGCTTTGAATTCTCCAATTCCTTCACATTGGTAATAAATAGTAATCTGTAATCCTGCCAAATTCTAGGGATCATAATCATCAGAAGATTAGGTATGGAAGGGTAGCAATAACATATTTACTTTGTCATATAAAGTTATTCCGATTATGATAACTATAATAATTGGCAATTTCAATCATCAATACTGGAATATTGAATTATTTGTCACAATTAAGGATGTACCAAATCCTTGGTCTTTCCTATTTTGACTGAGCAATGTATATACAGATTTTATACTAGTGGCACAAGAAGCAAGGCTATACGAATGTACGATAACACTGGCACATGCACCTAATGACTAGAATTTTCAGAACTCTGTAACATTAAAAGCTAGATGATCATAATGAACTTGAAACAGCTGAAACAATCAAAGGAAATCAAATCATAACTTGAAAAAAGAGTGAAGAAAAGAAAAACTTTACCAGGAAAATCAGCAATCAACTCATAGGCACGTCCTCTTCATCTGAACTGTTGGCCTGTAGAGGTCCCTTACAACCTCCTTCACTATCACCAAGAATTTCACGGGCTGCTTTCTCAAGGAACTCATTGGCAGCAGATTGAACTGATTGTTTATTAGGGGATTGATATTTCCTCTTCTTTTGAACCTTCCTTTCTAGATACTTAATGTTTGACCCCTCTCCTCTACTAATGTCTCTCATACTTCGCTTCTGATCTGAACCAAATAAGCAATCCTTGAGTGGAATAAGATCAAGGTGTTGAAAAAGTCACAATCCTGACATAAAGGGTAAATGAACACCTTACCAGGTGTAAGGTCTGGCAAAGAATGCTCGATGAAACGGGTAGCTGCCTGATAATTTAAAGTAGTAGATGGTCGCAATGGTGCTTCAACAAAATCAAATTGTCAACTGTAAGAATATAAAACCCCAGGAATCAAAGAATCATGGTAAATACAAAAATGGAAAGTTTCAAACAATTTGATATCTAAAGCACATAACATCATAGCCTGCTATCCATCATATATGTAATGCGAACCAACAATGTGTTGTGTCCTTGGTTGCAGCATTGTTTAAGAAAACAAGGGGAATGCTCAGCACATCACCCACACATGACATGTGCGCGAATGGCAGAACCTCCATCAAATGCTCAGTCACCCACAGACAACAAGGAGATGCAAAGCACAGTCGCCCACACGACATGTGCACAAAAGGCAGCACCTCAATCAATTGCTCGCAGTCACCCGCAGGCAACAAGGAGAATGCTAACCACAGTCATCCACATGACACGTGTGAATGGCAGCACCCCAACCAATTGCTCACAGTCGCCCACGGCATGTGGTTGACTGTGCCTAGCATAACTTGTTTAGAAGTCGGTCCATCAATAATTGCACTTCCAAATAAGAGTGGTGTACCTTTACTCAAATCCACAAACCGCTGTAGCTTCTCCTGATACAATCTTAATCTCTCCTACATAAATGGAGACAATAAAATAAAACGGAAAAAAAGTATTCAGCCTTTTATGATAGAAACAGTTAAGCAAATCATGTGATCTCAAAATTATGAGCTCATACACCCTAACATGCATTAACCCATAAACAATATGACAAGCAGTAAGCACGTAAAACAGAGCTACAATTGCACCCAACAAAAAAAGTGATCAACTTCTAGATTTAGACTAAAAATTCAAAATATAAGCAAACCTACAAGCTCGGATTTGACGGGATGGTCATCCGGGTCTACTCCACTACACCTCAACTTCACTGGAAAACATAAAAATAACAAAAGAATTTCAACTAAAATCAAATTGGCTAACAAAGAACGACATGAAAACTAACAATTAAATCAGAACTAAAATAAAATTGGGCAAATGAAACCAAAGACATACCGGTGAACAGGGTGGTAGTGGCCCTGGCGAGCAAGAGCAGGGACTGAGCTCGCTCGAGAGGCGGCGTTTCGGCGAGGACGTCAGGGTCGGAGAGAGACAAGAATTGGTGGAAGTGAAGTCCAACTTCTTCTACATGGCTCAAGGTTCTCTTCACTGATTCCATCACTGAATCTGGAACTATCGAGCTTCCTGCCATTGTTCTCTGGCTCTCTCTCTCTCTCTTCTCTCTCCGTGAGACTGTGGCAGAGAACTGGAGAAAATCTCAAGGGTGTGACACTGACAAATTAGACAGCGAATATTCCGAGTCAGGAGGAGAAAGAGGCAGTAAAAGTCTCTCTCTTGTTTTCAGGGGGCTAGGGCTTGGATTTGGAACCAGGTTTATTATGGCGGCAGTTTAGGAAATAATGCGATTTTCGAGCCACGAGATGGAGAGTTTTTAATTTTTAACTTTTTCCCTTCATTTTTTTATTTTTTTGGGAGTTTGATACATTAACACAAAATGAGGAAATCTTTTTTCGGTGCTAAGGAAAAAAAAAATCAGGAGTGAGAAATTTGAAAATAAAAAGTTATCGAGGGAGAAAAATGATTAAGAACATTTACTCATGAATACAAAATTCTATTTTGAGAACATAAGGTGATTCCGAACATTTATGTGTGAATATAAAATTTAATTATGAAAATAGTTAATAACGTTTACTTGTAAATACAAAACCACACCCTAATATTGCTTCTATTAGACCAGTTAGAAAGAAAACAAATTTCATAAATGGACAAGAACCAATTACATAATATCCATCTAATTTCGAAAATTCGATATTGAGTTTTTTTGTTTTTTTCATTTTGTTTCCTCTTTCTTCACAATTCTTTATTGAGAGAAGAAAGTAAAAAAAGGATTTGGAGCCAAACAAAACAACAAAATATCCAAACCACCCATCGACCACACCCCCACATACATGATTACACTACAGCTTACATCAATGGAGTACCAAATTGACCAACATCAATGGAACCATAGCCGATTCCATTTTCTACCATAGCAGCTAGCCTTCTGCTCTCTCTCTCTCTCTCTCTCTCTCTCTCTCTCTCTCTCAGCGGAAAGCACATACGTGCCCATTTGCAAGCCTTCCCATTTATTTTGCTTTCTCAGAAGATATTCAACGAACAAAATGCACATGCCGTCTTTGATTTCTGTGAGTTACTCATTTATGCTCATTCTTTAGCTCATAAAGTATTCTGTATGGCATTGTTGATAGTATGCTCTGCAAGCATGTGCTGTAGTAGTATCAATTACAGTCTTGCTTTTACTGACAATAGGATATTTGCAATAAGCCATACTAGTTCGTTAAAAGAAAGAAACTGCGGAAAGTTAAAGGCTTGGCCATGTGGGTCTTTGGTGTACTTGACAAAAAAGAGGAAAAAACGGATGGGTTTTTGTGGGTTTGTGATAAAGAGGTCACAGGAGGTAGTGGTGGCGAAGAAAAAGCCAAAAATTTCAGTGTCTTCTGAGGAAGTTGTGAGGGTTCTGAAGTCGATTGCAGACCCTAAATCTGCTTTTTCATTCTTTAAGTCCTTTGCTGAGTTGCCTAGTGTTGTTCACACCACTGAAACTTGCAATTACATGCTTGAAATCTTGAGGGTTCATAGGAGGGCGGAGGATATGGCTTATGTGTTTGATGTAATGCAAAAACAGATCATAAAGAGGAATTTGGACACTTACCTTACTATCTTTAAGGGTCTTGATATAAGAGGTGGAATTCGAGAAGCGCCATCTGCTCTTGAAGAGATGCGAAAATCTGGGTTTATCTTGAATGCGTATTCATACAATGGGTTGATCTATAATCTTATTCAGTCTGGCTATTGTAGGGAGGCTTTGGAGGTTTATGAAAGAGGGGTGTCAGAAGGGATTAAGCCTAGCCTGAAGACTTACTCAGCACTTATGGTGTCATTGGGAAAGAGACGGGATGTTAAAACTGTTATGGGCTTGCTAAAGGAGATGGAAAGTTTAGGACTGAGACCTAATGTTTATACTTTTACTATATGCATTAGAGCACTTGGGAGGGCTGGGAAAATTGATGAGGCATATGAAATTTTCAAGAGAATGGACGAGGAGGGATGTGGCCCCGATGTTATCACTTATACCGTTCTCATTGATGCTCTTTGTACTGCAGGTAAACTTGATAATGCCAAGGAATTGTTTGCAAAAATGAAATCCAGTGGTCATAAACCTGACCAAGTAACCTACATTACTTTGCTGGACAAGTTTAGTGATGGAAAAGACTTGGACACAGTGAAAGAGTTTTGGCGTGAAATGGAAGCTGATGGTTATGCTCCTGAGGTGGTTACTTTCACCATACTTGTCAATGCTTTATGCAAAGCTGGAAATGTTGATGAAGCATTTAGTATGTTGGATATCATGAGGAAACAAGGGGTCTCGCCAAATCTTCATACTTACAACACATTACTTTGTGGACTTCTGCGGTTATGCAGGTTGGACGAGGCATTGAATCTTTTCAACAGTATGGAATGTCTGGGTGTTCCACCTACTGCTTACACATACATCCTTTTCATTGACTACTATGGAAAGTGTGGCAAATCTGGCAAAGCTATTGAGGCCTTTGAGAAGATGAAAGCTAGAGGCATTGTTCCTAATATTGTTGCTTGTAATGCATCTTTGTACAGTCTTGCTGAAGAGGGTAGACTTCAAGAAGCACAACTTGTTTATAATGAGCTAAAATATAGTGGGCTTTCTCCAGATTCAGTAACTTACAACATGATGATGAAGTGCTATAGTAAGGTTGGGCAAATAGATGAAGCCATCAAGTTACTTTCAGAGATGGAAAGAAATGGGTGCGAAGCAGACGTAATTATTTTTAACTCTTTGATTGACATTCTTTACAAGGCTGACCGAGTAGATGAAGCATGGCAAATGTTTTACAGAATGAAGGAAATGAAGCTCACTCCAACAGTTGTGACCTACAACACATTACTTGCTGCACTAGGGAAAGAGGGCCAAGTCCAAAAATCCATTGAAATGTTTGAGAATATGACCGAACAAGGGTGTCCTCCAAACACAATAACTTTCAACACACTCCTGAACTGCCTATGCAAGAACGATGAGGTTACTTTGGCATTGAAAATGCTTTGCAAAATGACCACAATGAATTGCAGACCTGATGTTTTGACCTATAATACTGTAATTTATGGCCTAGTCCGAGAAAGCAGAATTGATTATGCATTCTTGTTCTTCCATCAGATGAAGAAATCACTATTTCCTGATCATATAACAGTGTGCACTCTCCTGCCTGGTGTAGTAAAGGACGGGCGCATTGAGGATGCTTTAAAAATTGCTGAGGACTTCATGTATCAGGTTGGGGTTAAAGCAGACAGGCCTTTTTGGGAAGATTTAATGAGAGGGATTTTGATTGAAGCTGAAATAGACATAGTCGTTTTATTTGCTGAAAGGTTGATCTCTGATAGGATTTGCCGGGGTGACTCTGTACTGATTCCTCTACTTAGGTTTTTGTGTACACGTAGGAAAGCTTTTGATGCTCACCATATATTTGAGAAATTTACTAAAACTCTCAGAATTAAGCCAACACTAGAAGCTTATAACTGTTTGATTGAATGGCTTCTGAAAGACCATGTCACTGAAAGAGCCTGGGATCTATTTATGGAGATGAAAAATTCTGGTTGTGCCCCTGATGTGTTCACCTACAACTTGTTACTTGATGCTCATGGGAAGTCTGGGAACATCACTGAACTCTTTGAATTGTACGAGGAGATGAATTGTAGGGGGTGCAAACCTAACACCATAACCCACAATATAGTCATCTCCAGTCTTGTGAAATCTGACAGTATTGAGAGGGCTATAGATTTATATTATGATCTTGTAAGTGGTGATTTCTCTCCTTCTCCTTGTACATATGGCCCTCTCATAGATGGACTTTTCAAGTCGGGAAGACTAGACGAAGCAATGCATTTCTTTGAGGAGATGGCAGACTATGGATGCAAGCCTAATTCTGCTATTTTTAATATTCTCATAAATGGTTTTGCAAAAACAGGTGATGAGGAAGCTGCTTGCGAGTTGTTTAAAAGGATGACTAGAGAAGGAATAAGACCAGACCTGAAGTCTTACACCATTCTTGTGGATTGCCTGTGCCAGGCAGGGAGAGTGGATGATGCTCTGCAATATTTTGAGGAGATAAAACAAAGTGGCCTTGATCCTGACTCAATTTCTTACAACCTTATGATAAATGGACTTGGAAGATCGCGGAGGGTAGAGGAAGCTCTCACTGTTTATGATGAAATGCGGACTAGAGGAATTGCTCCTGATCTTTTCACGTACAATTCATTAATACTCAATCTTGGACTTGTTGGAATGGTGGAGCAAGCAGGGAGGATTTATGAAGAACTACAGCTTGTAGGTCTTGAACCTGATGTGTTTACCTACAATGCTCTCATTCGACTGTATAGCACATCTGGAAATCCAGATCATGCTTATGCAGTTTACAAGAACATGATGGTCGGGGGCTGCAGCCCGAATGTAGGAACATTTGCACAGCTTCCCAATCAAACTTGACTTACAAGATATACACAAATCTTGGTATCTGAGGTATGTGGGGTAATACTTCTTTTTCAGCCCTTGTATAACCACAACTGAGAATTTTCTTCCAAAGACGTTTTTACAGAAATAACATAATTTTGATACAAATTCTGGTGTTTTGGGGTTTTTCTGTCAAACGTTTGTCTGAACTCAACTTTTTTCCAGGATGTTTCACTGCAGTCTCAGTCGATGATTTTGGTGATAACTGAGTGCATAAAAATCCAATTTTGTGGCGTTGATGTTGCTCATCTGAGCCTAGATATGTATCTAGAAGGAAGTAACATGCATGGGATATTATCTTACCCCTGTATACTCTGTAAGGTCTCTGTTGTTACATATATAGTGTAAATGATGTATCTATATTTTACTTCTTCCTTCCCCACCTGCTATGTCAAATATAGTTCAATCATCATCCTGTACTGACCTTAGCAGATTATTATACAGAGCTAATGCATACATGACCTGTCGAATATTGATTATATTTTTGTCTTTCTGAGATTGTTTTGTGAAGATTAATTGGAAGGGTTTTGCTTGTGTTGCCCCTAAAGACAGGGTTTCTTATCTTTGCACATTCCCATTCAACAATGTGCACATCTCAATATTGATTGAGATCTTATCACATAATATTACATCAAGAACAAAGCATAATAAAACTTGGACACAGACATACAAACATTTTTTAAATTTTTCTTTGAAAGGGAAAGTATGAAGAACACACCAAGTAAAAAAAGACGAATTATATTTATCTTTATCAATGACAACGAGGCTCCCACTAAAACAGAGCATTTTCTCCATGGCCTGGAATTTAAACATTCAAAGCAACCGGATCTTGCAAAGCAAATTTTTTCTTTCCAACTTTTTCGTCATCGACTAGGCAATTTTTAGGCTTCTTCTCTACTCTTATGGGCTCTGAAACAATTTGTTCTCCTCCTCCTTCTTCCGGCAAGACTTGGGATGGTTTATTTAGAACAGCTTCATTGGCATCACTTTTCCTTTTCCTTGAAAACTTCTTAGGTTGTATGTCAGACTTCTGATGTTGGACTTCAGGTTCAGTCTCTGCTGGTTTTATCTTCAGCAGATGCCTATGCCTTCGTCTCAAAAATCTGAAGGTCAGAAGTGATGAGCAAATTAGGTTACAAGCTTCTCTTACTTTCCTACTCTCTGACAGAAAATAATGTAATACACAAAAACCAAAAACAAAAAATACAGAAAGCAAAGATCATACCGAATTTCAGCTACAAGGATGTCTCTTTTCTGCTTTGCTGCTTGCAATTTCTTCTTCTTTGATACAAATTCCTATTTTAAAAACACAAAACAAAAGAAATCGTTATCATACTTATTCATATAATCAAAACCCAATAAAGTTGGTTTCTTCCACCTAATGTTCAACGGACTGCTGCCAAAACTGTAACAAAGAAGAAGTCTATGTTTTTCCTTTTTGTCCCAACTCCTAAATCATGTTTGTATGTTAAAAAAAGTAGTGATAATAATAAATAAGTATTTGACTTTGATTCACGATTGGGGATTTCAGATAACAAGTTTATGTCGATTCAGAATCATTCTCAATGAAAAACTAGTCAAACTACCATTATAATCAGAGAAAGCTAAACTAGAATCAACACTAAACATCATAACAGGATTTCGATAAGACTTATAAAAACATGATTAAACCAGAGAAATCCACACCTAGATATCAAAATCAGTAAGAGAAAACAAACCCAATACAAAAGTAAAACAAAAACTAACCTTTTGTCGTTCAAGGTAATCTTGCAGAAGACTTTCATGTCTAAAATTAAGCCTAGCTTCCTCATCAACAGGCTGAGATTTATGAGAATTAACAGCAACCCTTTTCATCTCTCTCTTCAGAATTGCATCCCAGCATCAAAATTGCAAATTAAGCACCATACCCAACAAGACTCCAGAGAGAAAAGTGATCAAAATCCAGTGAACCCCTTTTCATCTCCTACTCAAATGTGGAATCTTTGACCTTTAAAGTCTGCTACATAGCAAAGAAAATAGAAATCCGCATCCAATTAGCAAATAAAATTCGGTTATTTTAAGGACCCAAAAATTACCCTCTCATAATCTTGTCAAATATCAAACTCCATTGGGGAAAAATAAAGGTAAAAACCTTGGAGATTAAGCAAAGGAAACGCAAACCCAACTCAAAAAAGGAGATAAGGTTTGCGATTCTAGAGAGACAAGGAGAGGGAGAGGGAGAGGGAGAGGGAAGGGAATATAACAATTAATAATAATAAAAAGCAATTATGGAGAGAGATGGTTTTGTGTATCCAGTTGGATCATATATGTTTGGGTCTGAAACTCTGGGATTTGTGAGAACCCGAAAAGGCCCATGAAGGTCGGAGATAAGAATACAAAGTAATGAGTGATGAAGATGGAATGTACAGAAGGGCAATTGTGGGAAGTAAAAATATGGTCTTTGAGAAAGAGAGGTGTGGTTGGAGTTGGAGGACATTTGAAGACATATCTATCCTTGCCATCTTTCTCTTTTGTTTTTCTCCTCCTCTCCATAAGTTTTGGCCCAGCTGGGCCATTTTAGATAGAGAAAGTGACTTATTTTTCTATGTAGTGGAATTTGGAGGGCTTTGGCTTTTGGGGGGGGAAGAGAGAGAGAAGACAGAAAGACAGAGGATGCTGCAGAAAAAGGCAAGTTCGATAAAATGGCTGCTGTTTACTCATGGGTTGCAGTTTGTAGGCTTCTAGCTAAGAAGGCCTTGAGACGGTGGTGTTTGATAACCAACAGAAGTACTAAAAGTACCAAAATACCCTGACTGAAATTTCAGACAGACAAGGTTTTTATTTTATTTTTAATCTTCTTTCTCCTCCTACGAACCTTATGTTGAATTGCCAATTTTTCAGACTTTCTTTTATTGGAAATAATTATGTAATTACCCATCTTGAGTCACCAAGTCACAGCGGGTTTTTTTTAATAGAACATTTCCTATTGAGAGAGCCGATAATATACAAACACAGGACCTTGTCCAGCGGTTTTAGCGTGCCCCAAAAGCACTATTTTTTTACCTTTTTCATTTTACTTTCTGGCCACTAAATACAAATTACAAGGCCATTTTGATGACCAAAAAGTTAAAAGGCTGATTATAGAACTTGTAAATAGCTCAAAATATTTATATAGCATATGCTGCTGTTGTTCAAACAGTTGGGTTGTACTTTGTTATAATCTGTACATACTATTCAAGTTTTGCGTTTCCAAACGTAAAAAAACAAATTCAAGAGCACAAAAAACGAATTTTTAACTAATTGTTAATCCATTCATTTTTCCTGCTAAACCATATCCATCTACAATTACAAATCTGAGAACCCATTCTCTTCTGAAAGAGTAAAACGTGATGCAATCCCTTCTAGTTTCATGGCACACAGCAGCCACTACTTCGGTTCACTTTCACCTGCCTTTGAATCACTTCCAGTTCCAGCTTCCTCGGTTGGTGAGGGTCTCTCGTCTGCAGATCCAGCCGACTGCAGGGGTTTCTTTAACTGCACGAACTGCACGAACTGCACTATGATCATGGTCATGTTATCGCACCCCTCACCACCGGCAGTTGTTGGCGCCAAACACCTATCAAGGACTCTCTCGCACACCACAGACAATTTGCTTTCCTGCATGATTTACAATGATGAGTGTCAAAGAGACGCAACACTAGACTGCTGTGCTTGCTTTCAAACCATAAGAACAAAAGAAAAGGGAGAGAAAGATGCACTCACCGAGACCAGTTGTTCATGTACATAATCAACCACTTGCTGGCTAGACATGCAATCCCTGTAAGAAATTAACAAAAACATTAACTTAGATTTCCGATAAGCATCCATAACATAAATATATTACAAGACTTATCAAAAACAGAAACATATCAGCATAAATTATTTGTCATCAACCATTATTTTTTAATTCTGGATGTGGGTATGATATAGTCGCTAAAGTCCATCAATAAGGCTGATGGAGAGACTCCAAAACGAAAATGAGGTGTAAAGCTTAAGACACATACCAGATGCCATCACATGCTAGCACGATAAACTCGTCATCATCACAAAGCTCAACCTAATTTACAAAATAAATAAAAAATTAAAATGGAAGATAAAATTAACAGCTAATAATTTTTTGTCGATTTTTTTTATTTGACAAAAAATAGGTACCAAAACAATTTTGTGAAACTAGAAAATGTAGATAGCCCCAAAACAACCATTTTATCCACCCATGAAGTATATATATACATACAGTGTTTATATCTGGACTGGCAGTTACAATTTGCTTTTCAGCTGGCAAAAATTTGTTCTGCTTGAATTCCATATCACCTGCAGTACATGCAAAACTAATATGAGTATGGGAACTACAAAATATTCTCCCCTTAGCTCCCCTCCACAAACATGCATGCACGTAACTTTTTCTTGTTCTGTTTATGTGCGTGTGTGCATGTATATAAAAAAGGTTTGTGTGTGTGTGTGTGTGTGTGTGTGTGCGCGCGTGCAAGCATGTTCGTATATTTTTCAAGATTCAAGCTAAAATATATCTATAATTCTCATGCAGTGAAATTACCTATAGCTCTTGCAAGATTCAAGCTGCCATTGACTCGTCCTGCATGGATAAAACCACCGGCTTTCAAAATCCTCTCCTTCTCAAGCTCAAGATCAGGTTTGTGATCTCTTGACAGATTATATGCCTGAAAAAGAGAAGTGAAATGATCAACGAGAATAAAAAATGTACAAATATTCTCGATTAACATGTTTAAATAGCCTTGGAATTTAAGTCAAATGCTCATCACTTTGAACCATTTAATACTGAAAAGGCAGCATAGTCTTGCTTTGATATTTAATCAGCTAACAAGCATGCAAAAGATTGGAAAACAATAAATTACCTGACCCTTCCGAGATATTACACAACGAGAATCACCAGCATTTGCAACAAGAAGTTGGTTGTTTCTAAGAATTGCAACACAGGCTGTGCTCCCAGAAGTTGGGCCAGTAAAATCAGAGTGAGGCCCCTGAAAACATATTTGAGTTTAAATTATGGAATGCATAGACATTATGAAACCAATGAAACAAATTGCTTATAGCTTCCAAATCAACACTGTTAAAGAAAGTTGTGTTGGTATTAGCAGAGGGAAAGTACTCCTACCAGCATACAAATTACATTTACTGAATGATTAAGTTCTGAATTACCCGAAGAATCCTAGTACTCAAATTAATATACAATAAAGAGAAATCAAGCAGATCAGTATCTGCTCCAGATAAGGATAAATAACTCGAAACAACTTTATGATTCCAGCACCTACCTCCTCAAAAGCCCAATCATCAGCTTGATCATTACCCTCACTGCTCCTTGGGGACCAAATTAATCCTTCTATCATGCCGGTAAACTTGTTTATCTTATCTCCCAAAACAGCTAACTCTCTCCAGCCCCTTTGTCCACGCATCATTTCATCCATTCTGCATAAATCAATTAACAACATCTTCAATCTCAATGAAGGATAATAAGACCACAAGTATAAAGGTACACAATAAAAGTCTATTTTCGCACACTTGAACAAGTATTACCATGTCAAGTATCTGTGATCTCATAAGGATCCAGAACAAAATAGGCATAATAAACACAATGCGGTCAGATCTTTCTTCAGCAGTCTCAACACATATTGAGACTAGTTTAAAAATTAAATAAGTCACTACTTAAAATCGTTAACATTCTCATTATTATATCAAAACTTGGGATACCAGTCAAAAAAATTAAAACTCTTTTCGCACACTTACCATGAAAATATGTGGACAATAAAATAGTACAACATACTAAAATACAAGGATTATCAATCAGAATTGTTATGGGTATGATTCATGAATCAAATCCACAAGGTTATTGCTACATCCCTTACAATATAGCTTGAATAAATGCATTTGTACTCATCCCCTCCACTAAGAAAGCGGTAGAAGGAAACTGAATTTTAGTACATTAAAGGTGTAACCTGAAAAAAGCTTTTTGAACAGAAGTTCCTATATCTCCAGTCGCATATGCTTCATTCTTGAGCACTTGACGGTGAAGATACTTCGCACAGAATTTAGCAACTACCTTACCTACAGAATTATTGAACATACGTAAGTAATAATACAAAAAATATAAATTATTGCTAATAAACTTCACAAACTGCATATGTACGTCTGATTACAAGAAGAAGGCATTCATTCTTGTACTAAAAAGGATTACATGTTATCGGTTACCCATCCTCATCAATGAGATGAGTATATGCTTACAAATATGAGTATAATCAATGACTCTTTTGGGTAGACAGAGATAGAGGTCAACTGAACGATGGTACAGTAAAAAAAATTATCCATACTACATTCATAGAAATTGATCCTCTAGCACAATTTACAAATGCAGATACTTGAAATTGCCCATTATTACCTCCATGGCCATCATAAACACCAAAGAATGAGGTGGATGCATCGAGATCGGGATATGCTGCATGCTAACAAAACACATCAACAAAGTAACAAACAGCACATTAATGATGTCACAAAATTTTCTGAAAAACAACGTAAATAATCATAGCAGCTTCTCTCTGCTACACTACAAAGTGTACAACATTTTGTACTGTACTACTTCCCATAGTCCTGATTGTTTCTCTACTGAAACAACCCGAGACCACCAATAGGACTAGCCCAATAAACAGACCCGGGGAGACTCCTAGGCTACTAGCAAGGAGTAGCACCCAAGACTAAAGTTGCACCAACACATGCCAAAAGACAATCAACCTCTGTCCTAATTAAAAGAATAAATAAGAATAACCCAAGTGGAATTAAGATTACGCAGTCAATTTGAACATGTCAGGTAATATCATATTCAGTTCAATCCTAACGATAGCATGCTAAACAAAAATGGAAAACATAAAAGAGTAAAGTTCTAAAAATGTACACAGAGGTACTTATTTTCTCAAAATAACTTCTAATAGGAAGAGCAAGGTTTTATTTACTCACAGCATCCTCCATGGTGGCACGCCACCCTTGCATTGATGACAAACCATATCTGACCCGGCCATTCTCACCATCTTCAGAGAACTTTTCAGTTTTGGGAGTGCTGAGATATATACCCATTCCAATCTGAAATTAAATAAAAGTTCAATCAGAAACATTGATCCCACAATTCCACGCTGAAAAACTAATGTATCCAACAACCAACAGAGTTTTGATGATAACTTGTATGAAAGTTAGGAAAATGCAGGTAAGAAAACGCATTGGGACTTCTAGAAACTCAAAGTTTTTACTGTTTGGTTATGAAAATAGATAGAAATCACCAGTCAAACAAAGATAAGGCTATTTGTCAGTTTCTGTAAATCACACACACAAGTCTCAACTCCTTCACCTCTGCTATCATCTCATATTCCACAGTATACAAGATTGGATCGATTTGATCACACTCAGGAACGATTTAAGAGGACTTTCTCCAAGTGAAGCAGGAAATATAAAAAATAAAGTCAGATTAGGGTACTAAAATCACAAAAATTAAGCAAGAGTTAGACTTGAAAGAAAGGATTAATACATAATATAGTAGTAACAATCATCAGGATCAACTCGGTATTTATGAAAACATCAAGATCATCCTGGAGAAGAAGAGAAAACCAAATTTATATGAAAGACCCATATTTGAAAAAAAACCAAATTTACATTCAAAAGGGAATGAATCATCAAGAATTCAATATTAACCAAAAGCAAGAGAGACCCAGATGCTAAGTTGCAAGAGTGAATAAAATGAACCAAGAAAGAACTTATACATAAAGAAAGAAAATCACTTGAGAGACTTGAGGCTCCTTCACATGCCCGGTTGGGAAGCCCGTACAGAAATGAAGATCAGAATCGGAAACAGCAGAAAGAATGGATATTGGGGTTTGGGAAGTGGGTCTTTTAGAGGTTTCACAAAAGAGCCAGACAAACAGAGTTTTCACGGAATCTGAGAGAAAAACAAAGGGGCAATATGTGGAGGAGAGCAGAGTATCAATAATTCAAAGACGAATGACAGAGCAAGAAGAGAGAAAGAGAGAGAGTCAGAGCAAATCATCGGGGGAGAGAGAGAAAAAGAAGACTTTTGGAAGACCGAATGATCATTTGAAATTTGGGTAATTTCTCTGGTCACACTGTTGATCTCACTGTTGATGGTCTTTTTCACGGTATTTTCAAGCCCCTTTCTCTCTCTCTCTCGGACACACGTCACTCTATATTTCTTTCCTTTTTCTTTTTTTAACATTTTTTTTCTGTACATTCTAATTTTCTCATGAATTATGTTAGGCTCGATTTTGCTCGCACGAGTTGATACATTGCAAAACTCACATGTATATGAGTTGATATATGGTAAAATTCGCATATATATATGAATCGAAAACTCTTAATCATTTTCGGACGCGTGTATGACTAAAATTAGCTTTTTTTTCTTTCTTTTAAGTTCAATTAATAACTCCAAGCAAAAACAAAAGGAGAAAAAATTCACTTCCTATTTCCCAATCTGGAAGCAGGCGCTGGAGTTTTCAATGTGTTTCAAAATTGGCTTTTTACCCATGTCGGCACGGAAGACACTCGTTAGATTCCCTAACTATCAACCACCCACGATATGAAACAAAGATGATAAAAAAAACTTGAAAAAGACTCTTGCTTGCTCCGTTTGTATCTATTTCTTCAAAATCATGTGGCAGCAGAGAGATTCACCAAACTTATGAATAATTTCGTTATCTGCCAATCACCCACTTTATGCTCCATTTGAAGGCATTTTCTGAGCCAGGTGGAGCTGATAGCTTCATCCCTAAATAATGAAACGACTTCCTTTCCCTTATTTTAATGTTGCCAAAGTAAGAAAAACGTTGGGAAACAAGAACATCTCCCTCTGCAATTTGCATGGCCCTTGTTAACAGATGATGTACGAACCATGCAAAATTTGGGCCGCGGATAAAATTCCAAGTCATAGGTAGAGTTTTGGTATCATATGATTCATATCAACGTCAGTGTGTCACTTAAATATGCATATAACATTTCTTTCAGCGACGGGCCGTAGTTTTGCCTAAAAACAAGCAGACCGGCAGTTGTAGATGTTGACTAACTTCAAAGTGAAGTAGACAAGAAGATGAACTCCACCAGCAAAGTCACAAACTTTCCTAGAGCCCCATCCCCACCAACCTAAGTTTGCTGACAGTTGGCAATGAAACCATCTTTCTACCATTTATAAATCTTCTTCCTCCTGTTATCATCTTTTACCATAGACATATCATTCTAAGAGCATCTCCAACTGATATGTCAAAAGTGTCACATAGACATTTAACAACTATAAATAACATCTCACACACTCCAACCGATGTGTCAAAGCTGATGTGGAATGAAGGCTGAAGATTGAGATGTTATTTCTAGCTGTTAAATGTCTATGTGGCACTTTTGACATATCGGTCGGAGATGCTCTAACATATCACGTCTAATGTGTCGTCAAATTATGACATTTAGATATGATTTAACCTAATTAATGATCTTAATTTATAAACTGACAATACATAAAAACAGATCGTGAAGAGTCTAAATAAGTGAAAAATTAAATAAATAAACCCAAAAGAGAAGAGAGAAAGTGGGAATATAATTAGCGAGCAGCTACGGCCTACATGCCACCACAAAGTGAGTTTTTATTATATTTTTTTGGCTAGCATCTAAACAAAAAACAATTGTCCGTTCTCATGCTCAAAACATGAATGCGTACGTATCCTAACAGCTTTTGTATTTTGTAATTTTCATCAAAGTTCAATCAAACTGTAGTTTCCCAAAAAAAAAAAGGCAGAGAAACTTGTTTGAAACTTAGCTAAAAGAAAAAAGGGAAACAAAATCACAGCAGCCAAACAAGGCAATGATTAGGGATTTGGGAAATCTAAATTCCAAAAGAACACGAAAATTTCATGTTTGGGCTTCGAAAGAGCTCTATATAAGAGCAACAAAAAAACTTATTTCATTACCAAAAAAAAAATAGAGAGAAATAAATCAGGTTCTGAGATAATCGTGACGCCGATACAGAGTTTCCGTAACGTCAATTACATCAAAATTTGTACAAATTTCAAAATTCATAGTTGTTAATTAGCGTTTAAGACAAATTAAACAGTAAAAATTTAATTCAAAACACTTTTTTTTTTCCTCTCTCCCAAATTTTCGGCTATGGAGGCGTCACAGCCAGGGAGTCCAAGCGCAGCTCAATTAATGGTGGAAGAGGAGTTGGTGAAGCGCTATTGGTGCAGGTTGACGGAGGAATGCACGCCAAAGTACATAGCTATGGTGAAGGAGCGGCATCAGGGCCGTTGGATTTGTGGACTTTGTGCAGAGGCGATCAAGGACGAGAACTCGAGGTCGCAGAGGGGTCTCAGCGACGAGGAGGCGATGAAATAGCACGCCAATTTCCGTGAGGAGTTTCGATTGTCGAGCCCTTCGGTGAAGTCTACTGAGGAATTGATATCGGCGATAAAGCATCTTTTACGACGGACTTTGAACTCATCGAAAAACGAGGGGTTGGGTTGGCCACCCTCTCTTTCGAGGTCGAAAAGCTTCTTTGCGCTAGTGGCGAAAGCGTAGGCAAATTGATTGAGGGAAATAGTTGATTCATAAAAATTAATAGACTTTTTATCACAAATGGTCCTTGACGTTTACGAAATTATCACGAATGGTCCTTGAGGTTTTTTTGTGACACTAATAGTCCTTAACGTTTGAACTTTTTATCACAAATGGTCCCTGCCGTCAAAAATTCTGTTAAGCGTATGATGTGGAAGATAAGTGGAGCCCACATGTCCAATCACATCGTGACATGTGGATTAAATAAATAAATAATTTTTT